CCTATAACTAAGGGGCTGGTTTTGACCAGGGAGGGGAATGACCCCAGGGACAAGTCCCCAGCGTAGGCGGGAGCGGGGAGGGGTGGGTGCGGGGGCTGGGAATTCAGGGACCCTTCTGGGGTGAGTCGTGGGGGTTGGATATCTGGGGACCCCTCTTGTGTGGGGCGTGGGGGCTGGGTATATGGGGACCCCTCTGGGGTGGGTCATTGGGGATGGGTATATGGGGACCCCCTCTGGGGTGGGGTGCAGGGGCTGGGTGTCTGGGAACCCCTCTGGGGTGGGGCATGGGGGGGGGGCTGGGTGACCGGGGACCCCTCTGGGGTGGGGCACGGGGGCTGGGTGTCCGGGGCTCTCCCCAGAGCCTGAGGGGGGTTAGTCTCCTGACCAGCCCCCCCTTAGCACCGGGGTAGGACCCAGGTGTCCTGGCGTGTCAGTGCCCCCCCCCCACGGCCCGTCTCTCTCTGCCCCAGCGCCCGCTAGCGCCCCCCAGCCATGGCGGAGGCCCACCAGGCCGTGGCGTTCCAGTTCACGGTCTCGCCCGAGGGGGTCGACCTGCGGCTCAGCCATGCGGCCCTGAAGCAGGTCTACCTGGCCGGCCTGCGGTCCTGGAAGAAGAAAATCACCCGGCTCCGGGTATGGGGGGACCCCACTGGGGCTGGGGAGGAGCTGTGGGGTCTGACTGTGGGGCAGGAATCGGGGGTGGGGGGGAGCTGAGGGGTCAGATTGAGGGGCTGGGGGGTACCCAAGGGGTCAGACGGTGGGGCTGGGGGGCAGGAGCTGGGGGTTAGAGGGGGAGCTGTGGGGTCAGACCTAGGAGCAGGGAGCTAGGGGGGAGGAGCTGGGCTCCCCCCCCCACTGACCCCCGTCTCCCCCCACAGAACAGCCTGGTGACGGGCGTGTTCCCCGCCAGCCCGGCCAGCTGGCTGGTCATGGCCGCAGCCATCCTGGCCAGCCAGGCCTCCCGCCTCGACCCCTCCATGGGGCTCATCGGCAAGATCAAGGAGCACCTGCCCGCCAGGTGGGGGGAGCATGGGGGGCAGGGCCAGGGAGGTGTGTGGGGCTG